TTAGGCATGCAAAATTTATTTTTCATCTTGCTTTTTAAAACTGATCTCATAGATTTATTATGAATATAGATGATGTATTGAATCAAAAATTCAAAAATTGGGAATTATTGAAAAATCAAAAACATATAATCCTGATATTTAAATCATAATTATTTTTCTTTTTTATATAACTAATATTGATTACTGATGTTTTATTTACAGAAATCCAACAATAAGTTACCATCTGGTCAAAATATAGAAGATTCCCTGCAAGAAGCAATCATTCAAATTCAGGAAAAGGGCTTATTTAAAATGTATATATCCAGAGTAGTTCCTAATCAATATTGGTACATTTCATGAGCTTGTAATCTGAACTTTAAAAGTTTTGTGAAAAAATATTCCTGTCATATGTATGTACTCCAAAAACTTTCATGGTCTGAATGATGTTATATATCTCTTTGTTAATCATTCCACTGCAAAATTTAAGATTTTGTGAAATACGAAGATTAAGGATATCTTTCATGCATTAGAAAAGCTTGCATTTATCCTTATAATACTTATCAAGAAAAGGCTAAAAAGGTTTTCCAGAAAATTCTTTCACAATTATCTTACATTTTTCTTTTTTTCAATAATCTTGCCATGTGACGTTAAAATTAACTTTATAGCTTGACCTTTCTTTCTGATTTAAATAAATTTATTATTAATCACATTCTATAAATTAAATTTGATTATTACTTACATCAGTTTTTTTAACAATGTTCATACATGCTTTGGAAGCAATTAAATGATGTTCAGCCCTAAAATTAATTTTTAAAGTTAAGTACTATATTATTATAGTTGTTGCATTTTTTATTTTATTTTATTTTTGGTATACATACCAAGAAATTTTTATATTAGAAACAGAATAAATAATAGTTCAAGAAAAATTAATAATATTTTAACTGTTCACATGTTTTCATTAATAGATGTGTTAAAAGGCTCGATTATTTCATAATTAAAGATTTGAGAACTATTTAAACATAATTGTTAGTAAAGTAAGTATATAAAAATCACTTTATAAGTAATATAAATTCTCTAATAATGCATTTAATATATGGCATTAATTTTGTTATTTTTTTGAAAGCTTTTTCACTCTTGTCAGAAACATTATCAATGCTGGTATTGATAATAGTAGTATTTAAATTTCTAATATTAGTGTTGATATTGATGCTCGTAATGGTATTATCAGTATTGTCGATATTGTTGGTATTATCAGTATTGGTATTGATAGTTTCAACTACTGATATAGTAATTGTCAAAGCCTCAAGCATAGTATTGAAATTAATACATTCTATTA